CATAAAATATTTTATACTATATACTATTATTTGCTAAAATATTTAGTCACTTTTAATATTTTTTTTTTAAGTAAAATTCTGTTTTTGCTTTAATGTGTTGGATACATCAGCTGAAAAATCTAATTTTTACAGTTCCTTATTTTCTCAGTGAGGTGGAGCGAATCTAACAGAATCGTACAGATTTGCGTCAAGCAATGGTAAAAGTGTAAAATTGGCTTAACACATAAACTTAAGGTGTCATAACCGCGCGAGTTCATACCCTACCGCTCCGTATGTTCCCACTTTCTCTAGCTTTTACCCTATCGCCCAGTAGACCGTAATCGCGGCTATTTGGCCAATCACTATCGTAATCGCGTAGGTGAACATAAACCATTTCCATTGCCCGCACTATCAAACCGATTCGATTATTGTGCAACAAGTGCTAAGAGTTGGATTGACTGTCTTAACGCTAGTTAGTCGCTCGCGACAGGTGCGATTGCAAAGATGTTCCTTAGTGGCTATTGGTTTCAGGTGGTGCTCTCCTGGGCGGTGGTGGCCTTTGCCACGGCCACAGTGGTGGTGGCGGTGCAGAAGGCTCAGCTGGAAAGGGACCTCCGCGATGTGCAGGACAAGATCGATGTATTCGAGGAGTGGAACGGGGAGAGCGGCATACGCATGAAGCGTGAAGACACGGTGTGTAGCCATTTGCTAATCAGTCGAATGCATTTATTAGTTCAATCTACCCCTACAGATTGATTACCGCCTGCCCACGAACCTGGTGCCCACGCACTACGAGCTCTATTGGCACCCGGATCTGGAAACAGGCAGCTTCACCGGTCAGCAGAGGATTAGTATCAAGGTGGTGGAGGCCACGAATCAGATTATTCTGCACTCCTATCGCCTGAATATCACAAGTGTCTATGTGCTGAATAGAGAGGTGGAAAAGTTCGAGCTGGAGGAGGATCGACAGTTTCTGATCATCACGTTGGCGGCAGAGCTGCCGGTGGGTGCCAGTATTACCCTGGGAATCATTTTCGATGGTCAGATGAAGGACAAGCTCGTGGGTCTCTACAGCAGTACATATCTAAACGAGGCAGGAACTATTAGGTATTTCAGATATTTTTATGGTGTGCCTAAAAGTATGCAATGCGTTTTCATGACTTGATCTGAGTAACCATTAATATGGTTAATCTGTCGTAAATATTTTAATTGCAAACTAGCTAGTTGGTTTGAGTGTAATTATTTTTAAAATATTTAATCATTTTCCTATGCAGAACCATGTCAACGACAAAATTCGAACCCACCTACGCGCGTCAAGCCTTCCCATGCTTCGATGAGCCAGCCATGAAGGCCACATTCGCCATCACAGTGGTTCATCCATCGGGATCCTACCATGCCGTTTCCAACATGCAGCAAATTGTGAGATCAAGTAAACAAACAAGTTAAATAGGTTTAACATGAATTAAATCTTAGCTTTCCAACTACTTGGGAGACTATACTGAGGCCATCTTCGAGACGAGTGTGTCGATGAGCACCTACCTGGTATGCATCATTGTGTCAGACTTCACTTCCCAGAACACCACGGTGAAGGCCAACGGAATTGGCGAGGACTTCACCATGCATGCCTATGCCACCTCGCATCAAATCAACAAAGTCGAGTTTGCTCTGGAGTTCGGACAAGCTGTCACGGAGTACTATATTCAGTACTATAAGGTGCCCTATCCGTTGACCAAACTGGACATGGCCGCCATTCCCGACTTCGCCTCGGGGGCCATGGAGCACTGGGGATTGGTCACTTACAGAGAGACCGCTCTGCTGTACGATCCCAGTTACAGCTCCACGGCGAACAAACAATCGATAGCCGGAACTCTGGCCCATGAGATTGCACACCAGTGGTTCGGAAACCTGGTCACCATGAAGTGGTGGAACGATCTGTGGCTGAACGAGGGATTCGCCCGCTATATGCAGTACAAGGGAGTCAATGCTGTTCACCCGGACTGGGGAATGGTAAGGAAATCTAACATACCGATTTAAAAGCCTTTAAGAAAATGTAATTACATTTATCAATCAGGTGGAGCAATTCCAAATCGTGGCCCTGCAACCCGTGTTGGTATACGATGCCAAGCTATCCTCCCATCCAATTGTCCAGAAGGTAGAAAGCCCCGATGAAATTACGGCCATATTCGACACCATTAGTTACGAAAAGGGAGGATCCGTGATCCGCATGCTGGAGACTCTTGTGGGCGCCGAACAGTTTGAGCAGGCGGTGACCAATTACTTGGTGAAGCATCAGTTCAATAACACGGTGACCGATGATTTCCTTACTGAAGTTCAAGCTGTAGCCCCTAACTGGGATATCAAGAAACTGATGCTCACCTGGACTGAACAGATGGGCTATCCAGTGTTGAATGTTTCGAAGGTGGGAGAGGGTAGTTTCCAGATTAGCCAGCAGCGATTCCTCTCCAATCCAGCCAGTTACGAGGAGGCTCCTTCAGATAGCCCCTACGGATACAAGTGGAGTGTTCCGATTACCTGGTTTGCTGATGATGGTTCAAGGGACAGCTTCATATACGGCTACGATGTTGACTTTGCGGGAATTGCCGTGACCAGCGAGGTGCAGTGGATCAAGTTGAACGTCAACCAAACTGGCTACTATCGTGTCAACTACGACGATAACCTGTGGGCCCTGCTCATCCAGCAGTTAACCACCAATCCCGCTCGTTTCGAAATCTCCGATCGTGCCCATCTTTTGGACGATAGCTTCGCTCTGGCGGATGCCAGCCAACTATCCTACAGAATTCCCCTGGGGATGACTGCTTACTTGGCCCAGGAGCGTGATTTCGTGCCCTGGTATGTAGCCTCTAATAAGCTCAGGTCGCTCCATCGCAGTCTCATGTTCAGCGAGGGATATGTCTCGTACCTTACCTACGCCAGAAGTCTGATCGCCGGCGTATACGGGGAGGTGGGATGGACTGTGGACGCCAATGATCACCTTAGGAAGTGAGTATACATTTTGTATATCTGTTTTGTGAAATTGTTCTGAAAACTATAAAAGGGCTTCAATCTATGTTACTCAAACATTCCATATTCCTTTGCAGCCGCCTGCGAGTTTCCATTTTGACCGCCGCCTGTGCATTGGGTGTTCCAGATTGTCTGCAGCAGGCTTCCGAGCGCTTCAACGCCTTCCTCCAAAATCCGAGCAGCCGACCTTCCCCCGATCTTCGCGAGATCGTCTACTACTACGGCATGCAGCAGTCCACCAGCCAATCGAGCTGGGAGCAGTTGTTCCAACTCTTTGTGGCCGAAACCGATGCCAGCGAGAAGGTGAAGCTGATGTACGGATTGTCTGGCGTTCGGAACAGCCAGTATCTGTTCAACTTCCTGGTTCTGGCCTCTAGTGATGAGAGCATAGTACGCTCCCAGGACTATTTCACCTGTGTGCAGTACATAGCCGCCAATCCTGTGGGTGAACCTGTGGTCTGGGAATTCTACCGCGAACAGTGGCCTCAGCTCTCTGCCCGTTTTGGCCTGAATGACCGCAACTTTGGCCGACTTATCGCCCGGATCACGGCCAACTTTGCCAGCTCCGTGAAACTGGAGGAGGTTCAGCACTTCTTCTCCAAGTACCCCGAATCGGGAGCTGGAGCTAACTCCCGGTTGGAGGCCGTGGAAACCATCAAGTACAACATCGAATGGCTTTCCAGAAACGAAGCTGACATCACCGACTGGCTAAGTGGAACGGCCTCGCCGATGACCAAGAAAAACCAATTGTAAAATTGAATATTGCATATAAGAACCGGTCATTTAACCAATAATTAGAATTGCATAAGAAACCAGCTAAAATTCCGTTCGAGTTCAATAAAATGAAATTCCAAAATCAAACCATAAATACAACCCCAATATTTTCATTCATTTTATCCGCGGCAAGTGGCGATTTCTATGGCTCCCAGGAAATTATTGGAAATAGGGTGTCCGAGTATATGGTCAATGCGGAATCATGACCGTGCGTAATTGTCCTGGGCAATTAGACTGTCCAGTCATAATAGTCGATATATGACCTTGTTGTAATCATAAAAGTAATGGTCTATCATAAAACGATTTTATCTGGTCACGAAGTTATATAGTATATTGTCTAGATATCGACCAGCAATCTGTTCAGGTTTATCAAGTCCAAATTGTGGGGTCAGATTCGCAACTTGCATTCAGTTTCCAATTTGACTTCCAGCCTAGTGGAAGCACTATAGAAATACCCATCGAAAAAAGAATATCCCTAAAATGGTTGCCTGTGAGTTTTATACATAGAGTGACATATCCCGAAGGAACAGGAAATCATTTAAGTTTACCATAGGGCTGACGGTAAAGTCACTGGCCATCTTTTTCGGCCTGGCCGCCACTGCTTTTTGTGTGGCCACGATTGTGCTGGCCGTTCAGAACGCGGATCTGGAGAACGATCTGCAGGATGCCCTCGATAAGGTCGACGCACTGACAGCACTTACCACGACCACCTCCACGTCCTCCACCTCTACAAGCACTTCCCCGACCACCACCACTGCAGATCCGAACAGGCCCACGGGTGAACCAGAGCCAGGCCCTACCACCACACCTGGCGCAGGAATTGACACAACCCCCGGTGGAGGAACATCTCCAGGCGAAACTACGCCATCAACCAGCTCATCCAGCTCTTCCAGCTCATCCAGCTCTTCCAGCACTTCCACCACTGCTAATCCCATCTATCCGACTTTGCCGACTGGACTTCCGGATCCTGAAAAGGTGAGTTCGATTATTCATCTATGTACATAGTTGGTAGTGATAGCTATAAAAGATAATAGTTCAGAAAAGCCTCACACTGAGTAGGAAAATTTTTAGCGATTAGTCGTAAAGTCGGCGTGGCTACTAATTTCGAATTTATTAAGTTCCGACTTTAGTCGTATTGGTCATTTTAAGTGCTTATCGCTTGGCTAGCGTTTTTTTCTTTTTTATCATAATACAAAACGCCACTAACTTCTTGGGTATTTTAGTTAGTTTAATTTCGGCTAACACAGAGTTAGGAGTCACAACAATGGGACTCACGAAGGACAGGATTAAGGGTATTTATTAATATCGACGAAAGTTTGGGGAAAACACCGAGATACATATATATTTTCATAGACTGGATCACCGCTGAACGCGTGGCTATATTCTTTGGCCTATTGTCAACCTGCTTGATCGTTGCCCTCGTAGTTGTGGTCGTGCACAGGGATAATTTGTGGGTGCAGTTGGACGAAACCAAAAGGATGTTGGATGTGCTGGAGGATTATATTCAAAGCCACTTGCTGACAACCAAAGAAAGAAAATTCATGAATGAAATTCATGAAAATGAAATTAGGGAGCTGACAAACATTTTAGAAAGAAAATAATGAAAAGATTGTTCTAGGATAGAGAATAATTCCAAAAATGTCCCCAGATTTAAGCAATAAAGGTAAACGAATGAGAAACCAACATCTCTAAGGGTCCAAACTTTGCGTAGTACAGCGATGGTTGTTTGATATCTGTAATTGCACCCCATAAATATGACCCTAATTTCACAATATTTAGCCTCTACATCCACCAAAGGCAACATTTGTTGCAACGAAGTCCACTCTGTTTACGACCTGATCACAACAGTGCTATTTCCTATCGCCACCTTATCAACGTATTGCTCACTTTATAGGGTCAAAAGCCATTGTCGATAGCTTGGATATTAAATAATCTTTACGATCCCCCAGATCGAATGGCGCCTGCCCACGGAACTGACGCCTATCAAGTACAACCTGTATTACCACCCCGACTTGAAGACCCGTGCCTGTGATGGAACCGTGTCCATCCAGTTCCAGCTGAACGCGGTCACCAATCTGGTCGTCCTGCACGCCAAGGACCTCAATGTGCACAGCATCAGCATCCTGAACATGATGGCGCGCATACGCGTGGCCATCGACAGCATCAACTTGGATGAGTCCCGGGAGCTGCTCCTGATCACGCTGAGGGAGGTCCTCAGTGTGAACAAGGCCTATACACTGTCCGCCAGCTTCGACTGCAACCTGAGCAGTCTGGTGGGCAGCTACATTAGCAACTACACGGATGCCAATAGAGTGGATAGGTGAGTAATTTTCAGATGTCTGGTATCTGGTAATGACTAAGGTTTTGTAAGCTTTCCTAGACTAAGATGTAAGAGCCCTTATGTTTTTCTAATGCTAGTAATAAGAAATTTGCCGTCCTGACTTGTAGCTATCATTTGAATGGAATATAGATTTATGTATGCACCACATTTCTATCCAATCGGACCCCATATTACGTTAAGTGAATACCCCCTATGCTTGGAGATCACCGCATGTTGGGGCCTTTAAAAAGCCGGTCTCAGCTGATGAGAGAGCTTTCCGGAGAAGCTCGAGTACCGTGACAACTTTGGAGCCCGCTTCAGTTGGAAGTTCAGAGCAGAGCGCGACGGCCGCGACAGAAAAGAGCGGATCCCGTCTTCAAATACGATCTCAATTAGCCGCAGTACGACACTCGATCCCCTTTCTTCTCCGTTTTCTTCGTTTCCTTCGTTTTCTCGGATTAATCAAGTGCGCGCCTATGATTTGAATCTAGAATGATAGCTGTCCGACAATTGCCGTTATCAAATTAGCCGAGGGAATACTTCTCGGACCCGGCAAAGTGACAATTAAAGTCATTCGTAGACAAAAAAAACGAGACACGAAAAGCTCGGATTTGAACTGTAAATCAAGTAAAAGGCATAGTGCGAAATGCGACGAATATAATAGATAATAAGTGGCCCAGATCAATCAGAAACCGTTGAGTCCGCTCCAAAAGCTCCACGCCAATACCAAATGACCATTGTCACCGCACCGCCGTTATGCGATCAAAATTCTAGTTTTAATTGGGCGCATTGAGGCGATCACTAATTTTAATATCCGCTGAAATGCGACCACCGGATTCTATGCCAACTTTGACTTTCAACAGGCACTCGTTTCGATAAACAACGGGCCATCGCAGGCTGACCAAGAGAACTCCACATGGCTGAATCAAACAGGTTGCACCGCTCCCTTCCCCTTCCCCTTCCTCTTCCCCTTTCCAATTCTCCGCCCCACTCCTCCCTCTTTCCCCACCCCTTTTGGACCACTGCAAACAGGCTTGGAGCCAAATGCATACATAGTTCACTTGCCGCGCAAGTTCTTGGCCTTAAATCGGCCACAGTCGCTGCACTGCGAAAAAGAAAAGAATTTTATCTACATTATCACCATCACTATAACCCATTATCGAACAATATCGGTAAGCCCCATATCAACAAGAAGTAGATTTTGATTTTATTCGCATTCTTAGATATTTTGCGCATCTGCATTTCTTATCAACAAATGTTACCACTCTGATAAAAAAAAACATATTTCGTGGTTTTTAAAAGAATAGGTTACTGAATTATAAATCGCTGTTTTAAGTTTATGGCCCTATACACTTCAGTAAATATGATATAAATATAAAGATCTTCAGCTTGTATCATCGATTTTGATGGCAACTTAACTTGTTGTTGATTTTTTTGCTGTGTATCTGCGGTTGTTGGCCAGCAAATGCGTCGTGTTTACATCTCCAATGCGGCAAATACTCAATGGCCGCTGAGAAAATACTTTCTTCCAAAAGCCGCAACAAAATGGGTCGACATCATTGACTGCCAAGCAACTTGTTGTCATAGTAGATTCCCCTCCCCGTTTCTCGCTGTGTTTTCTGGGTTTGTTTTGTTCTTGAAAGTTCAGTCGAAGCTCGGTGGTCAAACCTTTTTTCATTTTCATTGACACTGATTTCTTTTTTGTTCTTCTTGGGCGAAATAGAAATTTTGGACTTCCAAATGGTGAGAAAGAACCTTCGAAAGTGCAGGGTTTTTTAATTGGATTTTTGGGCTAATAATGTAAATTAATGGCTGTTGGTGGAATTGATAAGGCACTTGACACCTTTGGCGGGGTGTAAATTATACAACTAAATACTCCGAAGTTCATTGATCTTATTGCTCTTCTACTTATGTAATTAACACGTTTTAATTTTTTGTATTAATATCAATATTTATTGATTTCGGTTAATGAAAACTTAACACTTTTCCATGAACTGTTGATTTAGCTTACATATGTATGTATTAGTAAATATAGCATGGTATTGAGTTTTCGTTTTCCAATAATGAACTTATATAGAAAAATTACACCATTAAATTACACAGTAAATTAAGCAAGTCAAGGCCGAAATTTCCTATACAATTTTATAGTTTATTTGTGTAGAAAGTGATGCAACCCATTGATTGGTAGTAAATTTATTTCGCATTCCGCTAACCCCAAACATGCAAATTGTGGCAATCATTTCTTTGTCAACCCATCTTCCTTTTATTTATTGTTTTTATTTTAATTTTCCCTTTGTGAATATCGTGAATGGCAGGCACGTATAGTCGACCTTTGTCAATTTCATCCCATCGCGGGTGTTATGGGTAGTATTTCTTTCTTGTCTGGGATTTACTTTGAGTTTTGGGTGTTTCTGGGGCGCACTTGTCACGAATAACGATTTGTATTTTTCCGGCTATTGCTCGGCGACTTTGTGTATATTGTGAAAGTTATGACCTTAAAAAGCCCGAGGAAGCTTTCAGTTTCGAATTCCAAAATGTTAATGCAATTCTGCATTAAACAAACATCTATTGAAGTGACAAGCAGTGATATTTATCTGAATCATTTCATCTGATACATTAATATTTGTCTGCAAAAACAAAATTTTGTACTGTCTTGTATACATATGTCTTATATTAAATGGTGATATTACCGAATGAGTTCTAATTCGATTAAGCTGTTGGTTTTTTTTCTGTGTGCATTCGGCTCGATCTTCAGAGTAGTGAAATTTATGCGACTCATTAGCGCAGCATGAGAACTGTTATGTTATGGCTTGTGCGCCCGCGATCATCGCTTCATCGGCTTCAGAATGCCGAGATATCCACATCTGTGCAATGGGGCGTGTCCGATTGGCTGTTGGAAGTCGCAGATATATGGACTCATATGGTATACATATATACGGAGCATTGTCTGCAGATCTTCTGGCTGTTTTTTTCCGGCGCCCATAAGGTGGTAGTCATGCAATTTGGTTGACTCCGATGTGCGGTGGCTTTGTGCGATGTGCGCTCCCTAATTGAGTCAGCATTACATCATCCGCGGAAGATGGAAGGGGGCGAATACGTATTATACTATGGGTATCAGAGACAATTGCCTGCCGGCTGGTGAAAATTAGCATATTCTGCAGCCTCGAATTCCTCCATTCGCACAATTCAGAGTGAATAGTGCTCCGTGTGATAGTGCAGCTGCATCGCATATTGTTCTTTTTTTTTGGTATAATACTCCTATATCCTGACATCATTTCCTAAATGCAAGACGTGGATCATGGCTCTGCGGGTACCTCAATTCATTTCCAATGCTTATAATGGCATCTGCAATTTCTTCCCATCGCACAATCTGCGGAGATTTGTGCAACAGACTCCGTGAATTGACAGACAAAAAGCCAACAACCTTTTGCGATCCGTCAATCAATTGTACACAGAAAGAAAATATATACATGTTTTTATATTTTAAGTATTTTGCAAAAAAAAAAATCATTTTATCATACTCTCATTTTAATGGAATGTAGTTATGCTATATTCCCATTCATTAGTCAAATCGCCAACGTTCAATTAAAGAGCACCCCAAATGGAGTTGACTACCCAAAGACATCAAATTGTCAAACTGATATAAAAGGCTTATTACTTTGATATTACTGATCAATATTTTGCTATTGTGCAGAGACGCCTCTATAGAAAGTCGTATCATTGCAACAAGCCGGCGATTCGGATTGCAACTCTTGCGGTTAGCCAGCCCAGTTCCAACACCAACTTTATAAGCCGAACTAAAAAATGGCTTCGAGTATTTGTAGTAACAATTTCACGAAATGACCAACTTCATTACGTGACCGTTGGCGGGGATTGGGGGACAAAAATAACAGGCATCTGATTGATCTGCGGCGAGTTGAATTTGAGGCAATCTCCTCCTGGAGACAGAGTGAAATGTGTCGGAAGCTGAGCTGCCCCGCCTCCTTCACCTGACACCTCCATTCAAGCCGGGTACATAGGCACGGGTTTGTTTATAAGCAGCTCGGAGATTATTAAAACTGAAAAAAACTGATGATGGCAGCGGCGACGCATGTAATTCAGTACGCGACTTTTATGATGCTCTCGAATTACCTCGCCGATGACACAATAGATTGTATGAAGTTGTGGCATTTCGGGACAGCCCCTCAGTTGGCCGAAAACACTACAGTTAAAGTGGAGCTTACCGATCGTGGCACTTAATAATGTTTTCCAGTGAGTTACGGTTGTAGAACGCGCCCAGCCCAGTGAATATAAGTTGAGAAACGGAAAAAGCAGTACAAATAAGAGGGAAAGAAACTAAAAGTCATGTATGC